GGAGATTTACCTTTAAACATTACTTTGCAGTTACACATTACATTATTCTATAAATTAATGTATCATATTTTAACTTTACTTATCTGCTACTAAGCTATGCTTTAGGTTTACTGTTTAATGCTATACATTACATTCTGTATCGTATGTAATTCATTAAAATTCATTTTCACATTCTTTTTTTTTTCACTCATTTTTATCCTGCCAATAACATGTAGCACCAATCCTGTATTTTTGACATTATATAAAAAGTATACATTCACGCTACTTTGTATTTGTTGTATCTTTAGATTCATAACTAATATTCTAATTCAGTGTCATGTTTTATAGGGCCGAAATTCTTTACAGTAGGTGTCTGTGACTTGTTGGTGATAAATTTCAACAATAGACAAACAGTACGCAATCCACTTGTTTTAAAATAATATATTATAACAAGTCAAATGTACATACAAATGTTCGTGACACAGTTAAATACCACAATAATATCTAAAGCTTAAAATAATCATCTGTTTTCGTCGAAGTCCATACAGGCTGGTTCAGTTACTTTAGAACACAACTGACAAGACGAATTATTCTACTATACAACCTGTGATAAGTTCACTTTAGAAATCGTCACTATACGCAGTATAACTTCACTTTTTTTCACTTTTACTTTCATTTTCACTAACTTACTTGATCGTCTATACATATATTGCCCAACTAAGACCTAGAACTTTCTACAAACTACGAGACGTTATGATTTAACAATACTCAATGAAACAACGAGAAAAACTTAGAAGGTTCTAGTAACATGACGCAACAATATAACAATCACCAACTACTGAACTACACAATGTATGATTTGTACACAGTTACGTAAACAAACCTGCGATAAACTATCACTTCTAAAAATACTAACTTTAACATTTGCACTTTATAACTATCTAAATCATAACTCTCATAGTGAAATTAAACGAAACAGTCGTATATATCTAACACTCATATACCACAATATGTATCTAAATTTGTTTGTTTGTTGTTAAGAGCAAAGCTGCATATTAGACCATTTGTGCTCTTCCCACTTCAGGTATTAAAACTCGATTTTTAGCGTTATATGCCCTCAAACTTACTATTGAACCACTGAGGATGTTAACCTAAACTGTTCTATGTAATATCATGACGATTTGCTGTAGATAACCATGATGAGACCGAAGATCACTACTCTAGCATTACCAATTTCCACCTGAAGAAGTAACGTCTACCTTCCAAAATAATTTTCATTTTTTATTTTGTGATATACAGTAATGGAAATAATTATGAAAAACACAAAAATGATACAGTAGTAACAAACATAAAGATGGGAAATTTAGTAATGATACGAAACATTATCACTGAAAATACAAATAAGTTGTATAATGCAGTGGCGTTTTCTTTGTGAATCCTTTGCTTTACACATAACATCTTGTTTTCATGCTACCATACAGTTAATCAATCTGCGATTGTGGATTATTGTTCCAAATGTTTTGTATTTCTTTCCACACTTTGACCATTTCAGTTCCTACATAAGCTCAAACCACCTCAAAAATGTTCATATCAGAACTTTGTGCAAGCCAAGACATGGTTGTGAGTGTTCCATCAACCTTTTTACCATCAATATGTCATATCCCCACATCTGCTGATTGCTTGGGATCATTGTATTGCTGGAATATGAATCCTAGATCGATGAGTCGTGTACCTGAGGGGATGGAATGGTGGATCAGAACCTGCTTGTACTGGTCAGTGATCAAAGTGCAACCAATTTTGTGTGGATCACTGAAACCATAGCCTGAGATACAACCACAAACTAGTAATGATCCCCCACCATGTTTCACTATAGATATTATACATGGACTATGATATCACGCTGTTCTCTGGTGTCAAACAAACTGTAATCTATTGTGTTTCCAAATAGTTTGCTCTCATGTTCATCTGTAAACAGCACACATCTCCACATTTACTCTGTCTACTGTTTTTGGTACAATTCCCATTTCAACTTTTTTGGTTTGGTCACTTCTTCTCAGCAGTAGCTTTCTATGTTGAGGCCACTTCATGTAAATCTAAGTTCGCCAGGTAACATTCACACATGTATTTACAACAAGTTCGTTGAAAACTATCTGCACTTGACCATCGTCTATTTCGTATGGAAAATGTCATAAGATACCTAACATGACCTTTTGGAGAGTTTTGCTCTTCTACTACGGCAACTTGTGTTATTAAAAGTGCCAGTTGTATATATATTTTTTTAGTCTTGCGTACAGTTCCTACTGAAACAGGGAGTCTTGCCACAATTTGTTTGCATATCCAAAACTTTAATTTCTATACACTTGACATGTGGTATGTTAATCCTGGGAGTCGTGACTGAAATAATGCTATTAGTACTGGGTATAATGTGATTGTGTTTTCTGGCTAATTGGATTACAAACAATTGCAGTGCAAAGTATAAACATGTGACAATACTCTGGTGAATTTAATATCCACAACTATTTCCATAATTTTCAATATTATATATTCGACAAGCATACAATAGAAGACACAACAGTAAGATCTGTGAGCATTGGTCACAGCAAATAAAAAATTGAAAAATAGAAGTTTACGAAACTACACTCTGATTCTTTTTTCTTTTTCCCTGATAATAATTTCAAGTTGACATCAATGCATATTTTTAAAACATGAAGAGTATGATATTCCCAGTAAAACGGTTTTCCCGTAGATCAGTTATTTAAGCCAGCTAATTGGAGGTTTGGCGAATACCAGACTACAGAGTATAACAATTTCTACAATCTACAAGTGGGATCATTTAGGAAAAGGACTCGACATTGACAGATTCACAGTTACATAAAAACACCCACACAATTATAAAAATGCAATTCAATCACAAAAGCAAAACAGAACAAAGGCAAGTGCTCATTGGATTTTAATACAGGATGATGCCATGTTTTTGCTAAACTCATTAGTTATTATGTAAATTTTTCGAAGTATCTGTCTTATTTCAGTTCAGTTTGGCGTCAGGGAGTCACTCAATTAAGCAACTCAACTTCCCTTTACTCCAGCTGTGTATGAGACTGAGATTCAATAATTTGTCTTTAAGCATGTTTTCTTGCAGGAAAGATAGTTATGATTTCACTCATAATGTCCTGAAATAAATAGTTGTCTTTTCTGTTGGCGAATCGTGTAATAGCCCAGAGCTTCCCCATCCTTTCGCTCGAATGCACATGGTTCCAGGTTACGTGTACAAGGCTTAATTTATGTATTTTATTTTAGTATACAAAATTGGGTACTTCACTGTTAGACAGAGGGTTTGCAGCTTCACTGAGATATTGTTAAAGTAATTTTTCTTAGAAATTTACGTATAACTTGTGTTTTGCGTTTAAATTTTGAAGACTATTTAATAACGACGGGTTATTTTTGTTTTAGTTTAGCTTTCTTTTATTTTTATCTTACATGGGAAGAAGCTCACTAAACTGGTTGCAGAAAACTATAAAATGTTACTATTTACATTATCTCTCTTGCCTTTTCAACACATACACAACAAGTTTGTAGACTTTTGGGGTGGCTAACTGTATTAAGGATGCTGCAGACTTACAGGGAAATTTTGGACCATTCGATGCATTGGGCCATACGTGGCAGATGATGTTTAACTATCCAAAATGTAAGGTGATGCATGTAGTTTTTCACAATT